AAGCTTAATAACTCCTGTACTTTCTGTCGAAATTTTCTGAAATTTTGCAAAGAGGTTTGTATATTAGGGGGATCGATGCTATTAAAATTTGGTGGTTAAAAGTACAGTAGATGGAATGGGGAGATAAAGGAGAGTCTATGTCATATCTCAAGTAAGGTCGGACTTAATGACGATTTTACTCGTTAAACGCATTTACAATTTAAAAAAAAAAAACGTCCCTATCATGAAAATTAAGCTTTTTGCAATTTTATAATAATTAAAAACATATGTTTTTAAAATAAAATATCGTAACAGATGGCGCCACACACAGTTTTAAATGTTGCCGGGAAAGTTAAGCAACTCGTTGGTGGTTTTTATCTCCGATAACGTTTCCTGTATTTAGTCCTCTTTTAGTACGCCCACTACTAAAAGAAATAACATAGAAATTTATGTGGGTTTTTACAGTATATTTAGTATTTTCCTCAATTTAGATTGAGATAACTCTCAACTATTTATTTATATAAAATAAATTTGTTCATACTTACAAATAATTTTTTATTGAGCTGAAATAGGGTATATTTAATGCTTAAATTACAAATTACAACGATGTAAGAACATTCTGCCATATGATAATGGCAGATTGTCTTTAGTAAGTTTTTATAAGTTTTCTGAGATTTCGTACTTCTAAAAATATTTAGATATATTGTTTAGATATATAATATTTAGATATATTTAGATATATTAAAAGCATTTTTCAATCACTCAAAATATATTAACTCATTGAAAATACTTATATAGAAGACTATTTTGTCTGTGTATTTAATACTTTAAAACACAAAATAAAAACTGTTCTTTGACCATAAATAAATTTAAATTTAATTGCACTAGAAATCGACAGAACGAAGGAAAATAAAATTTTATTAAAATAAATAAATTAAAATAGGATCAGAGTAGAAATGGATTTTGAGTTTGACTTATTGGTTACTAGTTCCTATAAATTCTATTGAAAAAGAATTCTAATAAATAGGATTATGAAGTAAAATTGTTAAAGTGAAACTCTAATACACAAGTAAGTACAAGAAACTATGTAATTTTAACAAAAAGCAATCAAATCCTTAATTCGTTATTTTATTAATGCAAAAATTAAATTCAGGTTAAAGCAGAGATTGGTCATTTAAATTGTCACTTCCATATCGACAATATTTTCTTTGCGATTAAATGACTTCCAAAAATTAAAAAAATATATCAATAAAATCAACACTAAAATGTCATTTGGTCTAGTTTTATCGTAAATTTAATATATTTTGATTTGTAAGGAAATTTAATATTATTACGGTTATAAATTTAATCTATTTGTTTATGTTAAATTATATAAGAAAATTAAATAAGGTAAAAAATTTCAAAATTTCATATGAATATTTGAAGATATAAACGATTTAGGCCTATAATAATTTAAAATTTATATAAAACATTTAATTTGTATATTCGATAATTAATGTTAAAATGATAGGATTTTCTCCTAAATATATATTTTTAGTAGGCTCTACTTATAATTATGTAGACCTATAGTGCTTATAATTTATATACTATGCAACTTCTAATTACATAGAGTCTTGTATCAGCTAAATGAACGTGTTCATAAACTAATAGCGAAATAAAAAACGTTTTTATATTCTATACACGCATTGTCTATCTATACCTACAATTATATCAATATATATAGGCCCTATATTCGTACTACATTTATAGGTTAAATCTAAAAGATTTTTTCCATACAGTATACGAACAATGTCTAATTAAGAGTAACCAGACATCTCCGAGTTTGCCTGTTTTTAATATTTAATTATAGAATCAATCTTTCAACAGAGCAATTTTATTAACACGACAATTTAATTTTACCAAATTATAGATTAATAAATAAGTAAATTTTAAAAAATAACCAAAGTTCTATTAGTTTTAGACCCCATTTTAACCGATTCTGAAATGTATCCCTGGTTGGATATTAAATGTTATGGTCATCCTATCTAAATTGTACATAAATCTTTCATATTTTATGCATTTCTGAATTTATCTTATACACAAAACATTATTTAATTGGTTTCGATGAAAAATTCTTGTAAATCGTTATATTTCAATGAATAATATCATTAAATTATAATGAAGTTTAATGAATTTGATAAATAAATTAAATTAATGAAAATTTGTTTTAATTTAACATTAGTTTATTAATATTAATAAAAAATTTTAAAACATTTATAAATTCATAAAACAAATATTTTTATATAAAAAAATATAAAAAAATTCATTTGTATAAATTATATTAATTAGTAAAAATTTAAAAATTTTAAGAATATAATTTAATAACTCTGTATTATTTTAAAACATATATATTTCTTAATATATATGTTTTAAAATAGTACTTAATATATTTTAATACATATAAGCCTATATATCTTATATTATCTACACTGTAAAGAATAATATAAATTAAAAATTCAATATATATTTAAAAAATATTATTTTAAAATAAAATTATTACACAGTTTAGTGTAGAATCTCGAAGTACAGTCGAAAGTTTCAAATAAAATATTTTAAAAAAAAGTATATTTCTAGGAACAAATTACTTTTCTACCTCCCATTCATGAATATTTTTTCACATTAGGTTTATTTCAAAAGAAAAATAAAGAGACATTACTTATAAAATAATGATTTATTTTCTGATAATACTTGTAATGAAATGACACAACTGCAACTGTTGTATCTCATATATTAATTTCTTGAATAATAATTTCGTTTATTGCAATATCTTACATTTTGCTCCGCAACTAATTAATTATTTCGAAATGATTATTTTTACAATAAAATTAAAACTTTTTGAAATGAACTGTACAATAAACTACATACAAATTTTTTGTGTCGTATGCACTTGAACAAATATTTATTTTCCTCTCAACTCGAAAATAACTTAATTATTGTTATTGTTATTTTATTCAATATTCGATTTATAGCATCGAAATTTATGTGTTTTTATTTCGATATGAAAAGAAAATTAAAAGATTCTTTAAAAAGTTTATTAAAATCGAAAAAAAAAAACTTCTCTCCTGATATATTTATATAATTAACTAATCAAATTATATAATAAATTATTGGAAATAAATTTAAATTTTAAAAAGTTATATATTATAAATTTTTAATAATAATAATAATAAACAAATTTATTAAATCAATATTTATAACATTATTTTGATGTATACTAGCATTAACAAATATAAAGTCAATATTATATGTTATTTTCAATATTGAATATTTTTTAAGGAAAATATTTTAGTTTTTATATTAAAATACGAGATATGTTTGTTAAAGAGTAGTTTTATATTACAGTAAAAATTTCGTTTATAAAGAAAACATCTTGGAGTTGCATTAACAATCACAAAAAAGTATAGAAAACAATCTCAGAAACTTTGCAATTCTTCTTTATTTATGTAAAGACTAATAAAACTAACTTAAACTCTAAAATAACATTGGAAAGAGAAGTTTTAAAATTTCTCCAAACTTCATTTGAAGAGTAGAAACGAAATTTCTATACACATCATTTTGTTCTCCCAAGAGAAGAACTATCCAACGATTCAAACATTCTCTTTGAAACTAGTTAATTAAAGTATGATACGGATAGTAAAATCCAAATTTTAAGTAAAAGTATATAGCTTTATATAAATTAACTTTTATTCAAGAGTAATGCCAATGAGAAATCCGCAGAATAATATTATTGGTATAATCAGTCTGGCGGAAATGACTTACTTTGATCCATTCACTCTAAACTAAACTAAATCTCTTTAAATTCTCTGATTATTAAAATCTCTTTTCACTAAAATTTATAATCGTTAATACTTTTAAAATTATTATAATAATTAATCATCAAGAGTTTTACCAATTTAATGGGATGTTTCCTAATCTTACTTTATAAAAACCTCCTAAATCTATCCAAAGACCATGTTAGTGGTAATATAGTTTGCAACCACTCAACACATCGCAATCTTTCGGTTAGAATATGAAAGTTTCCTTAATACCCAATTGTTGATAAATTTTTGGCATACCTTTAATAATTCGGCCATAAATATTACCAAATTATGAAATTATAAGTAATATTTAATAAATTTAAAAATTTCCTTTAGTAATTTGTTAAAATAAAGTTTTATTTTTATTGAAAATTTTACATTATCGATCTTTAAGTCAACAAATTCCAAAGAAAATCAAAAATTATATAATTTTGGTGTAATTAAAATTTTCATAAATTTAATATACTATTTACATAGTGAAGGGTTTTATTTCTTTTTTCAGACTGGAAAATTTTAATTATTTTACACCATTTCTCTGTAGTTTAAAAGGAGAAGTAGGGGATTTCCTTTTTAGATTATGAATCAACTGAGAGTTAGGATTTACTATTATCTTATGAATCAGATATAAAACCGTCAGATTAAAATGTCTAAGTTAGAGTAAATATTAAATTAATTATCTATATTTTTAATTTTTTGTTTTTTTACTATTTTAAAAAATTTCATTCATTTTTAAAAGTATTTATTTCTTAAAAATAAATATAAATTTTGAAATGGTAAAATATTAATTTCAATAACTATTTTCATAAATTATAGTTTAAAATGATTCTTAAAACAAATTGATTAAGTTGTAGGTTTAAAATAGGACGATTTACATTTTTCAAATTGCATTCGATAAAATGGTATTAAATGCAAATTATGAGTCATAATTTTGTAAAGCTCAAATTATTCCCATTTATTTTAAAGTTTTCGATAAATGTTCCATAAGAATACTTAAAGTTACCTGCCGAATCGCGATTTACTGGTTGGAAAGCAATAATTTTAAGCATAATCAGTCTATTCTCTAGAATCGTAACAACTTCCTGTAGAATTTAATATGTAAATATATGTAAGTTGAGTTTGTATTATTTAGAGTGCAAAGAGATTATTGCATCTTAATCATAATCAATTCTTTTTGGTCATTTATTTGAAAATATTAAATCATTTTTCTGGTCTGAAACAAATATCAAGAAGCAAAATTTGGTATGACAATTTCCTATCATAAATTTATGATAATTTTTATGATTTTATTCCAGATTCCAAATTTTCCAGATTCATATCAATAACAAATTTGTGTGTAGTTTATAATAAATTTAATATATAAAATGGTTTAATAAGTTACCTTGAATAGAAATGAAAAATAAACATCTTTTTATTAAATTAATGATAATACTAACAGTAGTAATTTAAAAAAATCTCTGACATCTTGGAGAAAATTAAATGGTTTTAGTCAAATGACATAATTAATATCTGAATAAACGAAAGAAGGGAAAATAATGTAAATAAGTGAATACATTTTTATTTACATACTTCTGAAAATAAACAAATGATAAGTTAATGATACAGTCGTCAGTTAAGAGTGCAATAGGATGGACTATCCCTTTCTGAATTTTACTTATTGTGAATCATTAAAAAAAAAAAAAGGAAATATTTTATGTCTTAATAAATTAATTGAGGCAATTTTCTTCAATGTTTACATTAATAAATTCTATTGAATAACGGAAATTAATTGTATCATAGATTTTTCCAATATGATTTATGTAAATTTTAAGTCACGAGACTTAATTATTATGCCTACAATGGTTTTGGAAAATAAATTTTACATATTTTTCTTTATATTTAATAATTTTAAGGCTCTAAAATTTTGAAATATATTCCATTTATTTATATTTCAATAAATAAATTGTTCTTCTTGCTATCTCTCCTTAACAAAATGAAGTTAAATATACTTAGAGATTTATAATTTTTTTAATTAATAATATGTAAATTATAGATGAAAATAAATTTGTTTGATGAAATATTTCATTTCTGTGTAAAATTTTCATCAGCCGCAAGTAATTTTTATAACGTTATATCAATATAATTGAACGGTTTGTAATTCGATAGTTCTTGCAGCATTAATTCGAACGAATTGTAACGAATTAACGCTGTATGGAATAAATTAAAAATATATTGTCGAGAAAGTCCTTCAATGGGTCCTTTTTTCAAATATTTACTTTATAAACATTGCTCTTACTTAAAAAAATATGATACATAACAGGCGGAACATTTGTTTCCTGATGACGTCTGCTATTTCCATTTTCCCTTCATGAGGATGCAATTCTTGCCAGGGGAAGTTGGAATTTTGTGAAAAAGAGAATAAAAGCATCCAATACTCAACATGCCAGCATTAGAAAGTCTTCCATCGAAGATTAACATATCTGAGCATGGTTCAGTTCCTATACTTGTTTTTCATCGCCGTCATTCCTGGCATCTACTCCCAGCCAACAAGGTTTGCGGGAAACAGTAGAGAAGATCGTGCTGGAAATGAAACAATGATTATTGTGCCCAAGTCTAGTACATTTTTACCAAACGAGCAAGAAGTAGTTTACAAAGGACTTTTAGATGAGTGCAAAAATTCGGAAAGTAATACGGACGTCGAATGTCCCCAAACCTGCGTAAATAACATCGATGAGAATCGAATTCCTCGTCTTTTAGTTAACATAAAATGTCAAACTTCTACTTGCCATAGTGTCGTCTATACTTTTCCTGTTTTTTACAAAGTGAAAGAGACTATCAACTTTACTTATTACGTTCAACATTCGGAAGAGGTCCACGTCGGCTGTGTCAAAATGGAAGAAACCAGATATACGCCAGTGTACGAAACACGATCGCCGTAATTTATATTATGTACACAAATATGTTACTTAATTTATTATGTTAATAATTTATTAATTTTATTTATTATTTATTTATTTTATTTATTTTTACAACTTTTGTCCTTTTTTAATAAAAAGAAAAGTTTATTTTTTAATGGAAGTTTTCACTTTTTTTTTAATTTTAAGATATTTTAAGTAAAATTATAATCTATATTATTATATATTACTTATTTTTCTAGTTTTTTTCAGCAGTAATTTCGGCAATTAAAAAATGATTTAAAATTATTAAATATTATAATACGTGAATTAGGTTGTTTTAATTGATACGAAATCCATATAAAAGTTTAATTATTTATAATAATCATAAAAAAAAGTATTTTAAATATTAAAAATATCCAATAAATCACCAAACGATCGCCTTAATTCTCGGGCTTTGAGTTGTTATTATTTATATATATTAAAAATATCTTCGTAATTATATAGCCTATATATATATATATATACGGCCGGCCGTATGACACGATCGGCAAATTAAGCGTGATTAGGACCAGGTCGGAGCAAACATGTAGTTGTCCTTGTCGTCATGGCAACGACCCAAAACATATCCCAAAACAAAAGTACGGATCATATACAGTTTCTCCAAGGACAGCCGGATTAAAGTAGCTGTAGAATATTTCCACGTTTTAAGCAACGGTTCACGTGGTTTTACTAAAATTCGAACTATTCGCGTGGGCTTAAGAGCAGTGTATCACAGCAAGAAGGGGGGAATTTTGAGCGCAGATCACGTGACTGTGCTCGAAGACCCGAGTCGTTCCCTCCACCTTATCGCATACACCAGTTATCCAATAGAGTTTGCCCGAAGCTAGACATCCTTCTTTCCTCCATTTGAATCATACGATCCGTTAAGGTGTAGGATTACTAAGCAGTTTTCGAGAAGGATCGGTCACGTGATATGGCTCCAAGGGTCGGAGGAGAGCCGATCAAATCACGGCGACGAAATGAACCTGTTACAAACGAGAAGCTAAATTGAGTGGACACTCGAAATAAGGCATTAGATTAACTACGGTTGTGGTGTATGTCACGTGACGCGCTTTGCAAGATCAAAATCTTTTCCGCGAAACGGTAGAATCGCTCCGGGAACAACGACCAAAAAAAGCACGTGACAAAATTGGACTAATATTATAAACGAGGCGCTAAACTGAGGGAGCACTCGCAACACGACGACAATCACGTGAATGGCAAAACTGTTGCTCGAATGGAGTACGTGCGGCCTTTCGGGAATATCACGTGACGGCACGAAATGGCGGGCAGAATAACGTGACAATCCGCGCACGAATCACAGGGCCCGAAAGCGAGCGAATGAGATATTTGGTTGGGTTATATTCTTCTGGTCAGGAGGATAATAAAAGTTGCTAACAATGACAACTCGTACTTATTATTTTTTTGCTCGTGTTTGTGCGAGTTGCCTAATTATGTCCTCCAAAAAAAAGAAAAAAAAGAACAAGAAAGTAGTCGGGAAGTGGATCGATAGGAGGAAAACATACACAGCCTTTTTTCCCGGTGTGTGTGTGTGTATTTATTCAAAGTTTGTCGTCTTCCCTACCCCCGAGGGCATTGTTCGTCATCAATCTTCTGTTAGAAAACTTTCCCAGGATTCTTCACTCCCCTTTTATGGGCCACTTGTTTATTCATATCCTTTTTTCGAGTGAGAATATCTCGCCATTAAACAGTTTTATAACCCTGTTTTCTCGTGGTTTCCCCCCACGGCCCTGCATCTGGGTGCCGTCACGTGACGGTAAGAGTTTCGATTCTCGAACAGTCACGTGGCACCGACGAATTTCACTTTTGTCGCCCTCCGGCGTATATACGAACTCCACACCTGCTGTAACACGTTGATTGTGTGACGAGTTNGTTTGTATATTAGGGGGATCGATGCTATTAAAATTTGGTGGTTAAAAGTACAGTAGATGGAATGGGGAGATAAAGGAGAGTCTATGTCATATCTCAAGTAAGGTCGGACTTAATGACGATTTTACTCGTTAAACGCATTTACAATTTTAAAAAAAAAAAACGTCCCTATCATGAAAATTAAGCTTTTTGCAATTTTATAATAATTAAAAACATATGTTTTTAAAATAAAATATCGTAACAGATGGCGCCACACACAGTTTTAAATGTTGCCGGGAAAGTTAAGCAACTCGTTGGTGGTTTTTATCTCCGATAACGTTTCCTGTATTTAGTCCTCTTTTAGTACGCCCACTACTAAAAGAAATAACATAGAAATTTATGTGGGTTTTTACAGTATATTTAGTATTTTCCTCAATTTAGATTGAGATAACTCTCAACTATTTATTTATATAAAATAAATTTGTTCATACTTACAAATAATTTTTTATTGAGCTGAAATAGGGTATATTTAATGCTTAAATTACAAATTACAACGATGTAAGAACATTCTGCCATATGATAATGGCAGATTGTCTTTAGTAAGTTTTTATAAGTTTTCTGAGATTTCGTACTTCTAAAAATATTTAGATATATTGTTTAGATATATAATATTTAGATATATTTAGATATATTAAAAGCATTTTTCAATCACTCAAAATATATTAACTCATTGAAAATACTTATATAGAAGACTATTTTGTCTGTGTATTTAATACTTTAAAACACAAAATAAAAACTGTTCTTTGACCATAAATAAATTTAAATTTAATTGCACTAGAAATCGACAGAACGAAGGAAAATAAAATTTTATTAAAATAAATAAATTAAAATAGGATCAGAGTAGAAATGGATTTTGAGTTTGACTTATTGGTTACTAGTTCCTATAAATTCTATTGAAAAAGAATTCTAATAAATAGGATTATGAAGTAAAATTGTTAAAGTGAAACTCTAATACACAAGTAAGTACAAGAAACTATGTAATTTTAACAAAAAGCAATCAAATCCTTAATTCGTTATTTTATTAATGCAAAAATTAAATTCAGGTTAAAGCAGAGATTGGTCATTTAAATTGTCACTTCCATATCGACAATATTTTCTTTGCGATTAAATGACTTCCAAAAATTAAAAAAAAATATCAATAAAATCAACACTAAAATGTCATTTGGTCTAGTTTTATCGTAAATTTCATATATTTTGATTTGTAAGGAAATTTAATATTATTACGGTTATAAATTTAATCTATTTGTTTATGTTAAATTATATAAGAAAATTAAATAAGGTAAAAAATTTCAAAATTTCATATGAATATTTGAAGATATAAACGATTTAGGCCTATAATAATTTAAAATTTATATAAAACATTTAATTTGTATATTCGATAATTAATGTTAAAATGAAAGGATTTTCTCCTAAATATATATTTTTAGTAGGCTCTACTTATAATTATGTAGACCTATAGTGCTTATAATTTATATACTATGCAACTTCTAATTACATAGAGTCTTGTATCAGCTAAATGAACGTGTTCATAAACTAATAGCGAAATAAAAAACGTTTTTATATTCTATACACGCATTGTCTATCTATACCTACAATTATATCAATATATATAGGCCCTATATTCGTACTACATTTATAGGTTAAATCTAAAAGATTTTTTCCATACAGTATACGAACAATGTCTAATTAAGAGTAACCAGACATCTCCGAGTTTGCCTGTTTTTAATATTTAATTATAGAATCAATCTTTCAACAGAGCAATTTTATTAACACGACAATTTAATTTTACCAAATTATAGATTAATAAATAAGTAAATTTTAAAAAATAACCAAAGTTCTATTAGTTTTAGACCCCATTTTAACCGATTCTGAAATGTATCCCTGGTTGGATATTAAATGTTATGGTCATCCTATCTAAATTGTACATAAATCTTTCATATTTTATGCATTTCTGAATTTATCTTATACACAAAACATTATTTAATTGGTTTCGATGAAAAATTCTTGTAAATCGTTATATTTCAATGAATAATATCATTAAATTATA